GGGATTTCCTGATGGATTTTCCAAAGGCTGCTTTTAATCAGATAAAAGCCAGGACAGAGTAGAAAATAGTAGATTTGACAAAACTCAGCCGAGCGACCAGAAACTGCTGACTGGTGCAGAATATGGCGGCAAATATCACATTTTTTTTTCTTTTTTTTTTTTTAGGTTAGAAAGGCAATTTGGCTCCAGAGAAGAATATTGTCAGACTTTATAATTTAAACTTTTTTATTTTACATGTGGCGATGTGCAAAATATCAACCAACCCCTCAACTCTCAGAAGAATATCTGCGTAAAGGACTTTAGTGATACTGTACCAAATCTCATGCTGCCTGATTCATTTTCATTTATCCAGAAAAGCTTTTAACGCTTTGCCAGCTTATTTAAGTTTGCTCTAAAAGCTTTCCAGGTGTGTTAGCTGGTGGATTCAAATCAGAAGTCAGTGATTTGTATAGATAATTTTTTTGAAGGTGTAATAACTAAAAAAAAAAAAAAACATACAATGTTAAATCATTTATAGAATGAAAATTAGAAGCATAAGTTTGAATTTAATGTGGATTGTTTTTTCTAATTCCAACTTCCAGCACAACACTGGCTGGATATTTGACCACTTGTATTAAGTTCTTAAGTATATTAAATAAATCTGTCCAAATATTATTCATCTGACTCAAACTATTATGAACAGTTTGAAGGAAATTGGTTAGGATGTTCAAAATCTGAAAGAAAGAAGTCCCTCTGCTAAAATCTCCCCCTGAATTGAAATATGCAGCTGCCCACACAAACAAGTCAAACATCTTCCAGAGCAAAACTATTAAGCCACAATGACAAGCACAAGTTAAATATCCAGCCAGAATCCTGTCACAAGTCGTTGATGGCTACCAAAAATTTGTAGAAGGAAATTTAATCAAATACCAACAAGGATCAATTTTGAGTCAAAATAAAACTTGTGCTACTAAAAATCTGTAAAGTTGTTCAATATTTACAAAAAGGCAGTTTTCAAAGGGAAACTGTAACAGAGAACCAGGAGACATCTGAGTGAAATGTGCATAAGAAGAAAAATGACAGTCTTATAAATACAAATATAATTTCAGAACGATATGCAACCCAACATGGGAAAAATTTTAATGATCAAAAGTGTGTTTATTTGGAGTCACACAATGTTTGCAGTTTTTTTTCCATAAAAACTTGGCTGTTGCTTTTTCCACAAGGGGAAAAAAAAAAAAGGCAAACAGCAGGAAAATGGTTAGCCAGCTGGTCGGCATGTTTTGTGTACGGAAACACAGTCAAAATGTTTGACACACATCGGTAAGCAAGCTGAAACTAAGTGCTGACAAGCTGATGGTTTTCTCCAACTCTAGCATGAGATGCTAAAGCACTAAACCAAACAAAAACGTCTTTCTTTGACTTTACAAGTGTTGGGTATCATTCGGAAATAGCACTATGGCGGTACGGTAGGTTGGTTTCCTTGATGCTGCCCACAGCCCCTTGATGAGTTGTTTTGGTCTGGACCAGCAAAGAGTTAGTGCTACTGTACCAGATTTCCTGTCTTGGATCAAGTGCTTGTGTTCAAATGGAAGGAATGACTCCTTTGGTTTGATTTAGAACCAGCACTGGAATCAGCAATTTGGTGTTAAAGGGCCATCAGCGGCGTTGCCAAGTCAACGCAGGCGGGGAAAGCATTGAGAAGGGGAAACAGGACTTCCAACAGGAGGACATTTATGCTCAGAACGAACATTTTTAGCCACTAAATATATACTGAGTTTACTGTTAAATGTGTAGCTTCCTAAGCCAGAAACTAATGTTTAGGTAAGACATCAGTGAGATGGCTAAAAGGTCAATCCAAAGCTAAACAAAGGAAAGAAGTCTGTAAATAGTAGGGTAACGCAGAGATATTTACGTACACCGTGTGAAAGGCACACAACCTTTTTCTTACATAGTCGGGCATAAAAGAAGAATAAAACTTTCCTGTTCTTGGTCTATTTGGGTTTCAAAAAGTTATGTCCATCTGCTAAATGCTAAAAATAACCCTTACATAAAAATCCTTTGTATGTGGTAGAATTGCCTTTTAAATTGGGTGACTTGGGTCAGACAACGGTTTGTTGAAATTTTGACACCGTTTCAGTTCTGCCCAAAAATGTTTAGTAAAACTGAGATCAGAGCTATTTGATGGTCAATCTAAAACATTGATTTTCTCGTCTTTAAGTCAGCTGACCTTATGGGAATGATATTTCCATGCTCTGTCGAGGAGGCAAACAATTATTAGCCAAACTAATAAGACAGCAAGAAACGCCTTGTAGTTTCACTTTCAGTTTTAAACCTACATGATCTCCAGGTGACTAAACTGTCCACATAGCTTATTGCTGTTTGAGTTGCAGTTGCTTTTATTCGGTACATTTGGTTTGTAAATGTGCTGTTTATGCGGCATGTCAAAGCTGCAAAGCTCATGTGGTGTTTATGTGGTGATTAAATCGTATAAGCTATAGTGATAAATGTTTAGGAATGCGACCGGGGGAGAATAATTTTTTTTCTACCATCTTGTTTTCCAAAACTTGTAAAATGAAAAAGTCTGACACACAATGATGAGACGGGGGTATTATAATTTCCATGAAATTAATAAAAAAATAAATAAATAAAGATAAAACCTGTTAAGTTATGCTCACTTTGGATGTGCTGAGCTAACGCTTAAGGGAAAAGAAAAACAATGAGGTGGGAAGTTGTTAACCGAGTATTGATTCCTCTGACAACCGTCATCTATAAGCACATAAACAATAAAACTAACCAGGACCATATGAGAGTTTACAGTGAAATATTTGATCATACCTGCTGCAAGGAACAAACCCCACACCCTCCACAAAGAGCAAGTCAGAAGGGAAACATAAAATAAAATCTGATTAACATTCTGGTAAATCAACTTGTAACAGTATGGCGGATATTTGTGTTCCTGTAAAACTGTGTGGTCTGTATTTAACAAAGCAGGTAAGTGTCTATTAAAGTCTGTGTGTGCTACATAAATACTCATTAACGGGCCAATAAATTTGCAACAGGAAACCTCGGACGTGTCTGGACGCTCGTACATGGAGCAATTTCGCATATAAAAACAGAGAATCCATTTATGCATCTATGTACCAGCAGAAAACCGCACCGGGTTGAAAAAAGGTGATAAAATCCCCCACACCAACTGCACTAAACCCTTCTCAAAAACAAAATAATACAATCCTAGTGGAAAATGTCATGGTCACAGAACAGGAAAATGAAATCACAGAGTTCATTTCCCATTTGGCCACAATAAAACATTGTCTCATAGCCCACTTTAAGAGGCAGGACATGCCTAACATGAATATTCTCCACGGCTTCCATTTCAGCCCAAAGTGTTGTTCCACTAAATCAGATGTCACCGTGAGGGCTCAGAGAGGATGTAAATTTGCAGAAAATACATGACTGCTGGACTCATCTCAGCAGCACTTAAAATACAAACCCATCTATTAAAACAACATTAAAACGAACGCTGGGTTACAGCCTGCGCATGACTCTGTGTGTGTGTGTGTGTGTGTGTTGGTGTCTGCATATGTAATCAATCATGTGAAGAGTTGGACAGTGGGACATGGTTGTTGCATTAGCATCATCTCGATGGCTTTAAAGCGCAGAGTGAAGGAGAAGGAAGATGAAAGAAGAGACGCGAGAGAAGAAACGAGAGGAGAGTTAATGAGGTGTCGGGTGAAGCTCGTGTCATTGAGTCCAATCACCATCTTCCTGGATCACTGGAGCTACATGGAAAAACTGCTGCAGATATCGAGACATCAAGGGCTTAATGATGCCGAGTTAAATGGGCTGATTTCAGGAAATTATGAATACCAAGCTGGTTTGTTATGTCGTACAGTAGATAGCGCTCCTAGCCAAGATATGATTGAAAAATGCAAAAGAAAATACATCTTCTTTTGCTTTCTGGAAAGCAGGAGAGGGTAGAACAATGTTTGTCTTACTAAACTAATCGGTTTCATATGTCAGGAAAAATCTGAGTATGAAAGGGAAACCGCCTGCCGTAACGCTGCATTCGATTTACTTCAGAAGTCAAAACTCCTAAACTCCTGGTTTTCCATTTCTGGCGTTGTCCTGCAGGGCAAAGCCATGAAAGAAAATAACAATGTAAACTTAACATAAAAAGCAAGGACATTTTGTCTTTGGTTGATTACTTCTTTGATACAACTCTGTTTTGTGGCAGTAAATCTCAAACTGTTGGAAATCCTGTTTATTGCCACATTTGCAAAGAAAATGCATTAGTGGTTAAGCCAGTGTTGAGTGTCTGTGCGGTGCCAAAGAAAATCTCCCAAATTCTCATTGCCAGTGCCAAGCAGCTTTTGGTGGATGCAGTGTAATTGTGTGGGGCAGCTTTTCTCTCACTGTGAACTATTGCTTGTCATCACTGAAGGCAACGGCCATGCAGAGAGATATTGAGATGAGATTATGCAATCAGTGGTGAACCCATATCTCCGCTGTGGGAGAACAAACTACGTTCTCCAAGATGTCTTACAACCACAGAGTGGGGTTTATCAGAGACTACAGAGTTCAAAAAAGTCGTTAATGTCCGTGCGACACTGATCGAATGAAACGGGAATTAACAAATGGGAAACTTTTTGTGTGTATTTTGTGGATGGGTTTGACGTGAATCGTTCATCGTTTCGAAATCCAACTTGTTTTTTTTTTTTTTTTGTTTGTTTGTTTTTTTCAGGCTTGGAATTAGAAAATTCTATTTTCCAAGTTCAAATAAAAGCAACCTTTTTTCCGTTTCATACCAAACTATTTTATTGTGAAGCCATTTCTGAAGAGTTTATATTGTCACCCTCTTCCATTGGACAGCTCTGATATCTGGGATCACATTTCCTTGCAATGCACTATGAGTACGGAAAGTTACTTTAAATCCTCAGGGTCGTCGAGGACACTGGTACGACTTAACGCTTTCCGTTCACCAAAATTTCAGCAAAAAGGCAAATACATCACGTATGTTACCACTGCTTTTTCCACCGTTTTCAGCTTTTTTTTTTTTTTTTTTTAAACAAAGTCATGCTATTCACAAGTCATAAATACATCCCTATATGTTCTGCGCAGAAATGCAAATGATTTTTTCCAACCGAAGGTTGGTTTCTTTGGGGGAACAGGGCTTTATTGTAGCCTTTTTATTAACACTGTGAGGAGAACAGTGGACCCTAGCATTTATGTGGTTGTTCGCTATTAAAGTTAATACACCACAGTACAAAATGCTCAGTCCATAAAGCCTGAAAGATGGCATTAAAAAGTAATAGCATCTTTGTTTGCTGTGGATTCCCAGTACCTAAAATGATCATCACATATAAAAGCAACTTCCTGGGGGAAGAAAAAAAAAAAGAACTAAAAGAGAGACCACATCCTGAGAACAATCATTAGATCTCAACAGAGTTTTATCAGTCCAAAAGTATTTACTGTTTTGGAGAAAATCAACAAGTTCTCCACTGAAACCACGGCAATAAAATAAACCTTAAGGAATTTTCTTAAGAAAATCCTAGACAGATTAGTGCAAGATGAGAAAACAAAATGCAGAAATGTGAATTTGTGCGATATTTAATGGCGTACCTTTAAATACTACGTTTTCCATATGTGTGCGCTCGTTAAGAAACCAGTAGGAAATGAAAAGATAAGTGGTGCATGTAGAGTTGGATGGATAAAACTCAATGCTAAAGCACAGCTGAAATACACATTAATATAAAGAAAGGCACTAAAAACATGAGATACGAGTGTTTTTATATTCTTACTTCATCTCAAGGACCTCCTCCAGGTGCTTCCGCCTCTCGGCTCGCAGGGCGGTCAGATGACCTTCCTTCTCAGCCAATGAGAGCTGGGTCGATGACAGCTTGGCTTTCATCACCTCCAGTTCCTGCTTCACCTTCTCCATGGCAACCAGCAGGTCCTCCACCTGACGCAGGCACATAAACACACATCTAGCTTTGGCTTCCATTGGACCTTTTTGTTTGAAAGTGTCTGAGCACTACCAGTCTGAAAGGTTTAAGAAATCACTCTCCAGTGCAGAACGTCAAGCAGGTCGTTTTCCTACTCCCCGTTTTATTTATTTTTATTTTTTTCCTCCAAGCCGTTTCTTTTTCTCCTTCACTTTTCTGATGCATATTTTATCTCGGCCTGCTCTTTTCACTGGCTCTACATCACTGTGTCATTTTAATGTGTGCGAGGTCAGTGTGTATTTCTTAAGGCCAGACAACGATTCGGCTAACGTCCAAAGTCAGGAAGAAACGTAATCAAGACAAACCGAATAAAAGGGAAATAATTTCAACTGCCTTTTGCAAGAGTTTAAATGTAACGTTTGATATCACGCTAAGGTGTATTTACATTATAATGACCGACTTGACAATCAATTAACAATACATTTTAAATAAATGTATTGGAGATTTTCTCCAATTCGATTAGGCCTCAGGATAAAACATATACTTAATTTCAGCTCTATATCTTAATGTGGTACTGAAGGTTACAAAACGCCTAAATAACACGACGTCTTGTTTGTTTCTGTGATTGACTCCAGCTTGTGGAGTTTGAAGTTAAGCTGAAAAAGTCTGCAAAACACTGAGAATCGTTCATACGACCGATCTCTCTTCTCATTTCTAAACAAGATCATCAATTTAAACATGTTTAAACTGATATTTGGATGCATCCCTACGTAACCAAACATACAAGAAGTCCCAAACTGTAACCATGAAACGGAAGGAAACTGGTTAGGATGTTCAGGGTCCAGGCTTACGTCGGTAACCAGCAGGTGAAAACTGCTTGAATGACTCTGTTGTTGTCGTCAGTGAAGGAAGTTTTACATTCGCATGTTCTACTGAGGGGGTGTGGAGCAAGAAAAGAAGCCCTTGCTCACCAATCGCCACCTTTCTTTATACATAGGGGTTTCTTAAGAGGAATATACAGAGGAAGCTACACGCACATCATTTTTGTCTGCAGTTATTTTATAAATGGTGTCATACAAAAACACAAAACAAGAGTCTGATGTAAGATGTCAGAGAAATGTGAAACAAAAATGAGGGAAAAAAAGCCAAAACACTAAAACAAAAACAAAAAAATAAGACATCAGTGATATTTTCTTCATATTCTGATTGATGCAAAGTCCTTGTGAGAGCAAAACTATTCAAAGTTTGAGTTTTCAAGACAACCAGAGGCAAAACAAAGATGATTTGAAATCAACTTTCCCTCCAATTGTTTGTTAAAATAAAGAATATAAGCACATGGATAAAAGGAAGAATGAAATTAAAACAAAAGTACCACCTGATAACGGGAAAAAACAAGAACGCCGAGAGTGGCACGTGGTGATTCTTTGTTACCTTTGACCACTTAAATCCACTTGTGGTGAACTCATGAATTGGAATGTGAGACAGCTGCATACAAATGACAGAGAAAAAGAGAGATGTGAGAAGGAAGAGTGATCGCAGTGAGGGGAGGAGATGAATTCAATGGAGTGGAGAGAAATACATGAAAAGGGCAGAGGAAAGGCCTCAGGATCCAGAGGTAAGGAGGGAAGAAGACAGGTGTAAACAAAAATTTAAGAAGATGAAGAAGGACTTTATAAACACAGGTAAGCTGTTTTGGAAAAAAGCAGAAATAAGAGAGGACGACCACATGATAGACTAAATACAAATCGCAGAGAGAAATACAAGCAGCTTTTAGAAAAAAAAAAGAGGGAGGGGAAAAAAGAAAAAAAGGTTGGAAAAGGTGACGCAGAACAATAATCGTGACCGAGTGAGAACGGGGTGGAGAGGTAATAAGGTAGGAGTGACACGGCCAAGCATGAGAACTGAGGGACTGGAAAAGAAGCAAGATGCAGTTTGTGGAAATACTGATTTGCAAACCATTCCAGACTCAAATTTCTTAGTTTATAATTTACCATAATGGATACATTGCTTAGGTTTACTATGAACTCATGTTATGTATGTATGGACGGATTGCAGCTCTGTAAAACACTCGAGTCGCTCTCTAGACTGTTCCAGACTGTGCGTCGGCACCATGGAGACCGCGAGCCGTTCGGTGCCGTGGACGCTTGTGTTCAAGAATGATTCCAGGTTTATTTTAAGATCAAAACGAGATGAACCGCAGGAGAAAAGGAGCACCGGGTTCAAGGAGTAAAAAAATCCTCCGCTTAATAGAAAACGGGAAGCCGAGGAGGGGTACGTCTGTCTCCAGTTTGAGACAGATGGAGTGTGTCACGGCGCTGGCTCACTCCTGTGTCACACACACGCACACCTTTCTGCGCCGGTCGCACATACAGTAGTGACTCATGTCTAGCAGCAAAAGTTTTGGTTTATTTTCATGTGGTTCTGGTCAAAAGCTTTTGACAGGCAAATCAGGTTCATGGGACAGTCCCACACACACGTGTTGACAGTGCAGTCGAAGAAAAAATAAATAAAAAAAAATAGCACGCACCAGTATCGAGTCGGAGTCTGTTTATAAGTGGGACCAGTTTGGCAGCACTTGCATGTGGGAGCCCTTTGAACCAGCCGGCCTCGTTTAGGGAGGAAATCGTCTTCGCCTGTCGTCGTTTTTATGAATCATTATGTGAAAAGATAATTGCGCTGACGCAGTTGTATAAAAAGGAACTCGAAAATATTTATTTATGATTTACTTGTGCCCACAGAGACGCATTTCCCGAAGCTGGTTTCCATCTGGCTTCTTCCGAATGCGATTCGGGAATGGTCTGTGCTCGGCTTAAGCAGCAGGTCGCACTTCTTTTGGCCATATTTGTCCGTCTGTGTTTAAAAAAAAAAAAAAAAAAAAAAAAAAAAAAAAAGAGAAGTATCCTCTGTTCTGTCTGTAAGCGCTACATAACACACGTGTGTGTGCGCTCGCTGAAAGGTTGAGTTAGAGTTGTTGACGTTGGGAGAGGACTGCAGCGGGTGTTTGGCTGACATCTCCAGTCTTTCACCACGAGCTGACATCTCTGCTCCTTCCTCTTCCATGGGAGCGTTTTTGGAAACAAGGCCTCGTTCTGCCATTAGTGGCCTCTGGCCTCCCTAATTGAAGTTGCACTTGCGGCATTTTGATGCGTTTTAATATTTCTCAGCCTCAACGATGCGACAGCTCGGCAATCGCCGTCGACGAAGTCGAACCACGTGGAACAACTAGATCACTGCCCTGCTTCACAGCTAGTCTGCTTGAGGTTAAGGATATTGTTGCTTGGTCCAGCCATGGAAAACAAAAAGACGGAGACCAAAAGAGGATGGTAAAAACTTTGAATCCCCAGAAGGCACGGCATTGACCCATTTTCATGCTCTGTTCCCAGGAAGGAGGAGTTTTCGCAGATAAAAGTATTTTGTAAATAAATTCTTATATGCACAGATGTTGCCTGGTTTCATTCTGTACATGTATGCAGGGCCTGCTGTTCGAGTTTATAAATTCACTCCTTCATTTGTTATTATTTAATACCACATCTCATCAGACATTACTGAAAGATTGAAAGTTATTTGGCTATTTATTGATAAACTCTGAAGCTAAACATAAATAATTATGTTTTGCACTTAATCCAGAATTTATATTTCCGTCAGTTACTGCCGATTATCAAGGTCCCAAAGCAGTAAATTAGCCCCAGATCATCACACTACCACTACCATGTTTGACCATCTGTGTAACTTAGTGTTTCTAAAATGCTGTTTATAGCCTAAGAAGTTAACATTTTGATTCGTCAAAATATTCTGGTTAATTTTTAGCAAACATGAGATGGGTGTTTTGAAACGCTCTCACGGATGCCATTTTGTCCAGTCCATTTCTTATTGTTGAATCGTGAACACTGACTTTAACTAGGCCATGTAAGGCCTAGATGACCCTTTTGGTTACGTTGTGATCTCTTGAATGAGTGACAATTAATTTCTTGGAGTAATTTTTATAAATTAATTCAGGTGACTGAAAAACCCCCCAAAACAGAACAAAAGAAAAAAAAAAACACTCATTGCCAGTTTTCGAAATGATATTTGTGGCTAACATTTATATGGAAGAAAAAAAAAAAACTTATAAAAGGGCAATGTCAAATATACTTACACATTCACTATTGTAAGAGGCAAGTACACCCATAAAAACTGCTGTTTCTTTTTAGTTGCATCATTACATCAAAAAGGCAATCCAACTTGTCAAGTGCATCATCTTAAACATGTTTTCTTGTTGTATTGATGTCTTTGAAATTTGACTGGAATTTGAAACAATGTGTTTGATGTTTTTTTTTGTGTGTTTTTTTTTTCCCAGAAGAAAATGTTTTGCAAGCTGCGTTTCACCTTCACACGTCCGTGTGACTGCCTTCCCCTGTCCGTCGAGTCTTTAATTATCCGTCTTTCCTCTGCATCGTCTGTCTGTGTGAAGCTTCTTCTGCAGCACCGCTCATTAGCACCCGCCACGGAGGAGCGTGTGAGGAAATATACCTCAGGAGTAAAACATCTGTTTTCCTGGCTGTCTCTACACGTCTGCTCAGAAGCTGTCCGGTAAGTAAAGGCCGGCGCAGACGGCAGACGTTTAGAGGCAGTAATCACAACAAGAGTCCAGCCGTTTTTTGTTTTTTTGCCAACAGCTACAGCGGGCCGTGTTTTTACGTCCTGAGCCCACGCTGCTTTTTAACCCCCTCCACTTGTCAAAACCCATGTAGGCAGTGAGGAACATTTCCCATCTCTATGGCCTCGTTAAGTCACCGCCGCTCCGGGGAGCGAAACACACAAACACACTCCCCGCGGTCTGAGGTTGCATCCACCAAACCCTTCCCTTCTGAGCCTCCCCTTTTACCACCGCCGTGAGCTCTCCCACTGTCTCCGTTTGGATGAACTGCTCTACGGCTTTAAGCGGTTGGCGCACACTCCCGTTTGAAAACATGGCCGGTTGTGTGTCGCCGGCAGAAGGGGACAGAATGGAAGCTGTTCTTTAAATAGGTATGTGTTTACCTCGGGTCTAAATGAAGAGTGACTGGGTAAACACGCGGAGCCGCACCTGAAGGGGCTCAGTCGGGAGCGGGCGTGCTCGTCCGCCGCTCCCCGCTTTCAGTGCGGACGATTTTTGAGACGGTCACAGAGAATTTTTTGTTTCCATAATTATGGTTTAGGTGAATTAAATAGCCAAAAAAAAAAAAAAAAAGATGGACCAAAATTAGGGAAAAAAGTTTAGGATAAATCTTGGGTCACACATTTACCATTCGGGGAAATCTCATGCGGTACAGCAGGCGCTTGCTCACACAGTACCTGCTTCTCGGCATGCGAGCGGGCCTGCTCCTCCTGGGCCAGCACCACCTCTCTCTCTGCTGTGATCTGAACGCTTTCCCGCAGCGCTTCCTCCAACTCCTCAATGCGCTCCTCCTTCTGACGGAGGGAGTCCTGCCAAAAGGACGGAAGAGAAAGAGAAAAGGTTTTGACCACGTCTGCATTTATCCACCTGATTTGACATGAGTGTTGCTACCAGAGAAAATCAAACAGTGAGACGCGTAAAAATCCAATCTTTTTAGGATCTGTGAATGCACCATACCTAAGTGTTTGCACAGAGTTTGCATGTAAAAGTATTTCATGTGGGTAAATGACTTAAAGAAGCTCCAGGTTTCAGAGAAGCAAAGCATTTTGTCACATTGTGTAAAGAGCCTCTAACTAAGATGATGTTTCTGTAACGTATTAGAGATGTACATGTTTAATTTTCACCATAATAGTTTAACATATCAAAATAAACTTGATAAAATTATCACTGTGTGATTTTTTTAGCAATAATCTTAATTCATGCTTCTGTAACCTTCTACACTCATCGGCAGCCTCTGTAAAAATCAGTAATAAACTATCGATTTCTCTTTATTTTCATTTTTTAAGTTGGAGTTACGAAGCAGATTAGCTGCAAGCACAACTTTATAAATCTCCACTAACATTTAAAATCAGAAAGTGTTGTTGCTCAACATGGAAAAACACACGAGCTCCGCTTCGATAAACGGCTCTAATCGTGCAGTTATCATCCAGAAACATCTCGAACTTGACCGTAGCAAAGATTAACCAAATAAGAACCCTATTGACCTCTAAATGTGTTATTTCTACCTACACACCAAAACATTATGTAAATGAATGGTCAACAGCAGCCGAGGATACTCCACCCCGGTGCAGGGATCTGCCAAATGAGTCGTTTTTAACCAGAGGGAGGCATTCAGTTGAGTTGGTGGTCCGTCAGCAGGGCTCGAGAGACGTCCGTGTTTACACTGCTACAAGAAAGTGACCGTAATATGCACTGAGGACCACCTCTGAATGCGGTCCAAATGACTGGAACGCAAGGAATCCAAAATGTGTCTCGGGTACATTCACACGGGCAATTAAGAGATTTCAAGTCAACTTTGATCGGCTCGCCCAGGACACATGTTCATGCCAGATGTGCACAGGGCCCAAAGTGTACCTCAGGTGGAAGGGAGTTAGTTGTAAAACGGGACACGTTACGGTGTGTGGATTTTTCCCTTCCCTTTCAGAGTGCGCCGGAGCTTTATGAGCATTTGAAGCATCTGCAGGCGTAAAAAGAGCAACAACTCCCAGAACAAAGGCCAGCTGCAGTTAACGGTTACACGTATGTCCAGTTTTTAACAAGCTGGTATGATTTCCCCAGGTCTTAGAAAAATATCTGCGATATCGTGTGGATAAAACACAACAGGACCGTGGTTTAACGACTGTTTTCAGAGGGACTTTTTCTCTGCATCAGATTCAGAGGACTCAGTGAAAGACTTCTCTCGTACTTGAAGACACCCATGTGGATTTCAAGGTAAATCCACATGTCCACGTCTCGTATTGTTAGATTCACTTGTTGTCTGATGAATTTCTATTTGTTTTAGCCCTGATCCGAGTTGGGGAAGATGTCTTTTATAAAATATGACAGATTTAGACCCCCTGATCAAATCAGATTTTAAGTAGCATGCTAAACCAGGGGTCTTCAAATCCGGAGTCCTATGACTTTTAAATGTGTCCCTGGTCAAACACACCTGAATCAAAAAATCACATCCTCAGTATACGAAACAATACAAAATGGTGAAGAAGCGTACTAATCAGGCCCAAGCCAGGTAGGTGCCTGCAAACATATTTGAACACGCCAGATGAAAAAAATAGCATGCAATTGCACAGAACGCAAAAGTAAAAAAGAAAAAGCTCCTTTTTTAATTTAAGCTAGTTTTCACACCTGGAAAGTTTCACAGACTCTGCTCAAGTAGGCACAAAAGACAAAAATAAAAAATTTAAAAAAATAAAATTTACACATTGTATCGGTGTGGTTCACTTCCACACTGCAGCGAACCGAAGGGACAATGTCACACAACAGCTAGTCTTCGGGTGCCATCACAAGAAGCTGGCTACCGTGAGCAGCGTTGGAGATCACGCCCCACAACCCCGACCCCTCATCAGCCTTGAATTATCCTGATCATATACGGAGCTTAGTGCAATCGGAGTTCCCATAAATTTCCAATGAAAAAAGATCTATTTTTCTTCTTGCTGGGGAGCTGACTTTGCAGGGTAAATTAGATTTGAATGAATAACTGATGGGGACAGGGAGGGCCGAGGAACGATGAGGCATTACAGTGGCCATGAGCAAAACCTCCAGAACATCTCCAACACATGTGCTGCGAATCCGAATCCCCCGGTGAGCCAACATTACTTGGTGTCTGACTATGCGCCGTACGGTGGAATTTATTTGGAACAAAGCCGGCTCTTATTGCATCGAATTAAATTTACAGTCCTGTTTTGTTACCGTCTGCAGGGTTGTTTAGGTTATGGATACTGGCGCATACACACAAAAGCTCTGGTTGTAACCGCTGCGGTCTCGTGTGTCTCAGTGACTCGCATTGACTCATCATCCAACCACATACACACACAGCAAATGACAGTTTCTTAACAACTTAGACCAAATCAACCATAGCTAAAGGGTGCATAAGCTTGTTCACACAAAACACACACACACACACACACACACTGACAGTTTTCATCTGCCTATAATCAGCGAACCAATGAGGTTAGCAATTACTGGAAGAGAAGAGCGAGGACGAGGAGGGAAAGCAGGCTGAAGGATGTCAGGGGAAGTCGGGAAGAAATTTAAGGTGAAAGGGCGAAGTTAAATGAGAAGGAAGCAGAAGAAAACCTACTATCTTCAGCTAAATGAAGAAAACCACACAAAATCATCACACCGCATACGGCTCTCATCTCGGGTGACTTGACGGACCTGGCAAACAATTAGGAAATGCTCTCCGACCACAAAGAAGCTTTTTAAAACCCAAAAAAGCATTCATTTCATTCCCCCCCCCCTGCTTTAATCACCTCTCGTTTTTCTACTCATCACTTCCCTCTTCTATCGGCTCCCCCTGCCAATTATCCACCTTGGCTTCCCCTTCTCACACGTTCTCAGCTGAGAGCTGCAGTGTGTGAGAGCGAGTGTGTTTGACATTGCCTCGGGCTGCTCTGTATCACGTTATGACAACAGGGTGTTGTTGTAGCAGAAGTTACTCAAAGGACACGAGGAAAAACTTTTCTCCACCTTCCCGAAGCTCCCCCGCCACTTTCTTTACCTTTATTTGCTGAGAGCTTTCGTTGAGGTTGTCCTCCCGCTTCTTGGCGTCCTCCATCAGCTGGGCATTTCGATTCTTTTCCAGCTGCTCCTTGTGTTTCAGGTTGGCGACCTTCTTCGATTGGTCCTTAATTTGCCTGGAAAAACACGGGACGACTGTGAGTTTATGAGTGGCGTTTATTTTTTTTTTTTTTTTGGTTGATGATTTAAAAGCCGACCTAACTGGAGGAAATATAAATTAGATAATGGCTCACGATGTGAGTTATTATTTCAAGCTTTGCCAAGACAAGAGCCTCCAATAATTCTTCCTGCTTTGCTCTTTGAGTCAGAGAGATCTTCCACCAAAGTACGCTATGCTTCATTAGACAGTTGTTTTCCTTGTACAGCTGCAAAGACTTGAACGTATTGTACACTCATTTTTCAATTATTATTATTGTCGCAGTCTTGCTTAGCCATTAAAAATGAACCTGTAGATCATTCATACCTAAAATAAGCTCACCCCCATAAATAAGATTTTTGTTTTTCAAACGAGAATATATATATATATATATATATATAAAAACTCGTGGTGCATTTATGTTCAGTCTCATAAGCAAAATTCAGTGCCACTTTTCAGAAGTCGGCCTGTAAATTAATTTCAGGATAACGGCAGGCCTCAGAGGACACGAGGGAACAAACGTCATGGAGACCAAGCAAGACGGCAGACGGGTCATGGAGAAAGTTGCGGGCATGTTTAGAGCAAAGTTAGGACAAATATCCAAGCTTTTAACATCTCAAGGGGAGCTGCTCAGTTCTCAGCATGGCCAAGAACCCCAGTAAGAGCCCATTTATGGTCCCTTTAGGCACGTAACTGGGACCACCCATTTCAAAAGCTGTCAAGTGTCACCGCCCTTATGCTTTCCTTCTGTTTATTAAACTGCCGTTGTAATTAGTGAATGCAGCCACTAGGGTGCAGTTCTGAGGTTCCCTCCAAATGTGGAGGAAAGTTTGGGCCGTGATAGTTTTCATTCTCAGGAAGAGGTGCAGCAGTAGACGGGCGCCCTGTGTGGATGTTAGATACATTGTGGCATATGGATGGAGAACTTATGTCACTTCATGGTTAATTTTGGTTATTTTATAGAACCTAAAATATGTATTTTTTTTAAATGCTCACACTCTCCATTCGGTCTGACAGAGATTGAGCTGTTTTATCAAAGATGGATGGGTAAAATTGTCTGCTGGTAGAGACAAACACCAAATGATACAACTGTATTAAAAGTTGGTTCTACAAAGTTAGCAGGACAGAATCAAAGACACGGTTATCACATTTCTACTGATTAAAAAATGTTTCCAACACCGTTTTTTTTTCTACTTCACAAAAACTGACTATTTTGCGTTGATCTATCTCACAAAATCTCCCCCAAAACGCGTTAAAGACTGCTGCTGTAACATAAAAATAGAGTGAAAATGTTCGAGGGTCATAAAAGCATTTGCGAGGATCTAAAGTAATAAAACTGTTGCTTAAATTGTGACACGCTGATTTAGCTCTCAAAATATGGTCAAGAAATTACAACGGCGCAGCAGAAACCTGTGCAACACAATGCTCCACTAAATACCCTCGGGTCGATATAATGTCAAAATCGGTAAAGGAATTCAGTGAAAAGCTATGAATCAACGACAAGATGACATTTCTGAAGTCTGCGCAGCGGGAAGCAGGAGGGTCTTGTCACACAGGGATTACAGAGTGTCGGGAAGCAGGGTTTAAATCATCACGGCGAAAACGAAGGAGACTGTAAAAGAGCGGGAGGAGCAGAAAAGTTATTCCTTGCGGGAGTTGCCGGCTTTTGCAACATGGAGAAAGAGTTTAATCCCCGTTTAAGGCGCCTGGAAGCCATTGTGGCTGTGTCACAGACCTATCAGATAACACAGCAGCTTTACTTGATCAGGATCGCTCATACATGCCAGACATCCACACAGGCTCGAATGTGGAAGAAATAAAACCTAATAGCATCCACTGAATCACAACACAAAGGAAAACCCAAGGAATGTTACTTGGGAAGAAAACACTGACATGACTGCAGGCTAGGTAGTTCCTGTGTCCATGACTGCTCTAAGTGTTTCTGCTGTGTGGACTTTTATATACGTTTGTGTTAGTACACAAAAATTATTTTCCCCAACATCAGCAATGTTTTCAGACACACTGACAATCATTTTTAGAAATGGGTGGCGATGAATTCACAAAACACTCTAGTTTTAGTGAAAACTAAAGCAGTTTTCACTAAAACACCAAGACACACATATCTATTAAAAGCAACAGGTGTAGAAAATTACTGGCAACTGGCCAACGATTAAGAAAAACATCTTATGTCAAGGAGCCGTCTCATGTTTGAGATGACATCTCTGCACCAACACTTTGAAGAGGACGTATCGAATGTAGAGCTACAAATTGTGATAAATTAATAAAACGGGTTTTTATTCTGAGTTTTTAATCGCAAGAGGCTACTTTAGTCTCTCATCGTAAGAAACAAAGTTAAATTTACACGTTACTTTACACCTGAATCTGTATGGGCTATGAGTTTCCTGCTGTTTATTTGGATGATAAATTGTTTTAAGGACTCGAGAACCAGTCAAGATTTTAGTCTGATTTTTTGAGCAAACCAAGAATCAGACATCTTTTCTCTTTTCGTAAGTCTGAACATTGTTTTTTATATTTGTTGAAAATCCTTTTGTGTTTTTCCATCTAAAATATTAGCTTGAACCGCTAAATAAAAACTATGATATTTATAGTGTTATCTGTGGCTCTATCGCAATTTTTCAATTAAGTGGATAAAATCCTTTTCAATGCTTTCGCAGGCTTTTAGTGAACCGGATGAGCAATCTTTATCAGTCGTTTCTGTCAAATAAACAGGGTAGATAAAAGCTTATTTTAAAATAAGAGTTTGAAATTGAGATATAACTTGATTCTTACCTTTAGGACTCATCTTATTACACAGTGTTCAAAAATAATAGCATAAACGTACCTCACACCAGACATACATGATAACGTGACTGTTCTTTGAAAAAGAGAAATTTCAAAGCGCTTAAATGTCACAAAATCTCGTTTTGTTACAATTTTAATATGCAGTTAATGTTTTTTTGTTTTTTTTAATCTAATAATTTTAGGAGCAGATCTGCCTTTGGATGCCATTTCTGAATTGAACTCTGATTCTTCCATACCCAATGAACAAATGGCTTCCTGAATTTGCTCCAGTGTTATTTGTCACAGAAAGTGTAAACAGGTCTGAAATTTCATACAACCTTCGAGTCCCAACATATCTCAGATTTACTCTCAGACGTAACCATCTTTGAAAGTGCTTTTAGTTCGTTTTGCTCAGTGCACAGCAAAAAAAAAGAAAAGATAAATGTATTCAAATATATAACTATTTTATTACAAGCCTTTGCTTTCATCTTCCTTGTCTGTGTAAGCCATAAACTGCCTTCTAAAGTTACTCAAAGTAACAGGAGTAATCCATCAAGTGGCTTTTATATCAATATCGCTGCCAGAAAAGTTGAGAAATGATACTGGCAAAAAAGGGTAGCATAAAATCTGTTTGCTAAGAGGTCCAGAGGGCCTAATTCCAAACTGTCCTGAGATATCTGGGAGAAGAGAAATTGAAAAAGCACCGATGCAGCCAAAACTGCTCAGCCGCACCTGCATGTTCAAAGCTCGCAAAATAATCATCAGGGGGTGTGTGTGTGTGTGTGTGTGTGTGTGTGTGTGTGTGTGTGTGTGTGTGTGTGTATTTAAGTTTCTAACTTATAGGTTTGCGTTTTTGGACGAGCCGTGTGCAGCTCTTGCGTTTACATCCAAAGCCGAGTACGAATGTTAAGCGAGAATGCAGATGTAGTAAGTGAGCTCTCTCGTTTGTTATTTTGTTCCCTTTGTTAGGCCATGATTTTAGCTTCCATGTTCAGTAACTGTGGGATACGGTTATTTCAATATTTGGGGTTCAGTTTTGTCCTATACGCCCTGCCTGCGTGTAACAGGTCATAAACAGGCAGGAATGTTCCTATTGGAGGATTTCCAGGAAGCCCCAAACATCTGGTTGGATCGCTGAGGTTTCCTAACTCCACGCTACATTTGCTGTATATATATATATAAGAGTGTATAGGCAAGTGGAAAACAATTTTCCCATTGACTCAACACTCTTTCTGCTTTCACACTTAGTTTTTTTCTTGCTTTTTAAGGACAATGAACATTTGTTTAAATACCAGCCTGGAATATTTTGACATATTTTTAAGCTTACCTGAACTGGCTGTTTTGACCCACTTTTCAAATCTGTTTCCTTGAAAGTTTTGCCAGTGACTGAACTCCCTCAACTGAGTAACCAGCGATGTGCAGGTAAAAAAAAAAAAAAAAACTAAACATTTTCAAACTAAACTAACCGATCGCCCTCAAAACAAGATATTTGTTTTGCTTTTTGTGGTTAATGTTTACTGCATTTAATGGTTTGATTAAGACAAACCTCACAAAAACCAGTCTGTATATCTTATCGAAATGAAACCGAATTGGACAAAGCGGGCTGCAGGGGTCAGAGTACATTTATTTGTCCCAAAGCGTAAAACTTCAGGCTTTAAATAACACAGTGGTAGCAGTGCAAACCAAGTGGGGTCTAAGGCTAGCCATTCTGACTAATATTTTCTAATAAGGTAGTTAAATGCGCCAGTAGGAATTTATAGATCCCATTAGACACCAAATACACGCCACCAGTCGCTCAAGTGGGCCCACACCAGATGAGAGGACGGGCGCACCGGAAATAAGGCGCAGTCCTGCACTTTTCTCCTGCATGTGTGTTGCTTCTATAATAGGATAAAAGTTCAAATAAACACTTTAACCCTGCAATTTTTTTTATTAAGCTTAATGTGCACAGAAGTCACATTAAATGAAGGGTTGGGTAGGAAACGGTGAGCTTTAAAAGGGTCATTGCCTTTGATTTTTCTGAAATATGTGGATGTTATTAATTATAACTTCAAAGTAGAAATTGAACAGCTTAACTTAAAAGTTACTGATGAGTTGAAGTCCTTTAGGTAGGCCTGAAGAAGTTCATATAATGAGATTGACATACTGGCATGTTACATGCTTGAGGCAATTCTTGCATCATTCTTTAAATTAAATGCA